GGGAGAAAATTGGTTGTCTCTTGCCCTTTGGTATTCTCCCGGTGATTGATTTAGTGTTCATCTTGTGATTGGTTCACTCCTCTACACTACGGTATAATCACTCTACTCACTCATTTATATTCTTACAAACTGGTTATAGCAAGCTCTTTAGTGTAATTAGAATTGAGAGCTTGTTTTGTTGTTTTAAGTTCATCTAGTGGAGCTCTTTAGTGTAGCTAGTGTGAGAGCTCTTAGTGAGTAGTGACATAGCAAGTTATGTATCTAGTGATCATAGCAACTAGAATTATTGAATAGGTGACTTGCAACCCTTGTAGAGCTAGAGCAAGTTTGCATTTCGCTATTTGTCATACTAATTAAATTGCTCTAGTTGATTTGTAGATTTTTAAATAGGCTATTCACCCCCCTCTAGCCATATTAGGACCTTTCAGGCGCGTGGTGCGGCCTAGGGCTCGAGCGCGGTGCGCGGGGGCGAGCGGCGCGGCATCGAGAGCGGGTAGCGGCGGTGCCTGGCGGCGGGTGTCTACGGCGCCCGGGCGTGACTCCTGGCGCCCGCCATTCTTCTTCTTCTGGGCGCGGCTCAGGGGTGCCCGCCTCTTGTTCTTCTGGGCATGGGATTGGCATCAAGGTGCGCAGATAGCCACGTGGTTCCAACCATGCGTCCCCGCCACCGCCTCCGCCATTGCCGCGCTCCTCTTGGCTTGTCGCTCCCTCCCGCAGGTGCGCCAAATCCACGCGCACCTCCACATCCACGGGCTGGTGAAAGGTCCTAATGGCTAGAGGGGGGTGAATAGCCTATTAAAAATTTCTACAACAACACTTAATAAACCGGTTAGACAATTATGAGGCGAAGCGAGTGTTGCGCTAGCCTACTAAGAATGCAAGCCACCTACCATAATTCGAGTTTATATAGTTTCTATCCACACAATAACTATGTCACTACACTAAGTTAGTGTGCTCTCAAAGGCTAACTAAAGAGCCACACTAACCAAACTAACAAGCTCTCACAACTAGCTACACTAAAGAGCTTGACAACTAGTTTGCGGTAATGTAGAGAGAGTGAGCAAGATGGTTATATCACCGAGTCGAGGAATGAATCAATCAATCACAAGAATGAATATCAATGAAGACCAATCACCTCGGAATCAAATGATGACACAATGATTTTTTACCGAGGTTCACTTGCTTGCCGGCAAGCTAGTCCTCGTTGTGACGATTCACTCACTTGGAGGTTCACGCGCTAATTGGCATCACACGCCAAACCCTCAATAGGGTGCCACACAACCAACATAAGATGAGGATCACACAAGCCACGAGCAATTCACTAGAGTACCTTTTGGCTCTCCGTCGGGGAAAGGTCAAGAACCCCTCATAATCACCACGATCAGAGCCGGAGATAATCACCACCCTCTGCTCGACGATCCTAGCTGCTCCAAGCCATCTAGGTGGCGGCAACCACCAAGAGTAACAAGTGAATCCCGCAGCAAAACACGAACACCAAGTGCCTCTAGATACAAACACTCAAGCAATGCACTTGGATTCACTCACAATCTCATAAAGATGATGAATCAATGATGGAGATGAGTGGGAGGGCTTTTGCTAAGCTTACAAGGTTACTATGTCAATGCAAATGGTCAAGAGAGTGAGCTTGAGCCGACCATGGGGCTTAAATAGAAGCCCCCATGAAATAGAGCCGTTGTACCCCTTCATTAGGCACAACACGGGGTGACCGGACGCTCCGGTCATATCGACCGGACGTAGGACCCTAGCGTTCGGTCGTGCGATGCACGCCACGTGTCCCCTCTCTTCAAAATATCGAGCGCCCGATCCCAACGGTCAAGTGATGACCGGACGTGTTGCTGCAAAGTGACCGGACGCAAGACCTCAGCGTCCGGTCATTTCCAGTAAGCATCTAGAAGCGAAAAATCATGACCAGACGCGACCGGTCATGCTCGACCGGACTCAACCAGCGTCCGGTCAGTCGGCGTCTCCTCTGTGCACTGCCACGTCAGCAGGACCGAACGCAACCCTCTAGCGTCCGGTCACTAAGTGACCCAACGTCCGGTCAGAGACCGACGCCAGTGTCTTTACTGCTTCTACTGACCGGGCGCGCCGGTCCTACCGAGACCAGCGTCTGGTCACTTACAGTGACCTCCGTCTTTTCTGTATAGGGTGCCGGTGGCACCGTCGGACTATCCGCACTCTACGGGCGAACACTCCGCCGGTGAAGTTCCTAACCCTTACTCAAATGTGCCAACCACCAAGTGTATCACTTGTGCACATGTGTTAGCATATTTTCGTAAACATGTCAAGCGTGTTAGCACTCCACTAGATCCTAAATGCATATGTAATGAGTTAGAGCATCTAGTGGCACTTTGATAACCGCATTTCGATACGAGTTTCACCTCTCTTAATAGTATGACTATCGATCCTAAATGTGATCACACTCACTAAGTGTCTCGATCACCAAAAACAAATTGGCTCCTACCATTTATACCTTTGCCTTGAGCCTTTTGTTTTTCTCTTTCTTCTTTTCAAGTCCAAGCACTTGATCATCACCATGGCATCGCCATCATCATGTCATGATCTTCATTTGCTTCACCACTTGGAATGTGCTACCTATCTCATGATCACTTGATAAACTAGGTTAGCACTTAGGGTTTTATCAATTCACCAAAACCAAACTAGAGCTTTCAGCTGAACACCAATGAGTTCCTCCCCGCTAGGCTCGCCGACCTCACACTCGGCGCCATTGACGACGCACGCAGGGTGCTCGACGAGATGCACCAGCACTAGGCGAGGGCGACTGCCTACTCGTGGAACGCGCTCCTGCACGGGCTCGTCCGCCGGGGATGCGGCGAGGCAGCGGGCCCCGCCACCGACGCATTCGGGGAGATGCGCGCCGCGGGGGCCACGCCAACGAGTACACGTACGGCTGCGTGCTCAAGTCCATCTCCCGGAGTGCTAGGCCGGCGATGACCATGGCCACCGCCACGCACGCGACTGGGCTCACGGAAGTCTACTTCAAGCGCGGGAAGGTGAAGCTCGCGGTGAGGGTGTTTGAGGAAATGCCTGAGAGGGACGTGATCGCGTAGGGGTTAGCCATTGCTGGGTTCGCACACAAGGGGGTGAAGAGGGAGGCCCTAGAGCTAATGTGCCATTGCTGCCAAAATTTTGATGTTTTTTTCAATATTAAATCTGAGTTGAAATAATTGCTAGTTGTGCCAAAAATATATTTGGCCAAATTTAATCATTTGTGTCAACATACAATAAAAAAGTCTAATTGCAAATCGGGGGTACAATCACAAATAGGCATAACAACACAAGGGTAAAATTCCATGGGCATTTCTGTTCTTTTATACAAAATTTAACACCGTTAGGGGAGGATGACGGAGTAGGGGCAAACTGGTGCTTCGTTTTGAAATCACGGGGTAAATTCACAAAGTCAAAAAAACAGGGGCAAAATCACAATTTCGATACAAAATAGGGGTATAAATGCAAGAGCCCCTTTTTATTATGTATCTAAACATAACGTATATCTAACTGTGTAGAAAAACTATGAGATAGTTTTTATACTTGCCAAGTCATATATATACTGCACAAGTATATCATATTTCTAATGGATGGTTTCTTGAAAATACATTTTTCTCTAATCACATGTCTTTTTTTTTCCTATCATCAGCCTATCACATCTCTTTTTATCTTTATTTTATATAGGCATAGTTTCTTGTATAAAAAAAATATTTACTTATCTCTCTTTCTTAATTCCAATACCATATCACTATTTGTTTAGTTAACATCTTAATTAATATACATAGAAGCCTTTTTAAACTTTAGATCGGGACTGCCCTAGTACACGGAACATGCACACAAGAACGCAAAATGCCGAAGGAATAAGAAAGAAAATGAGAAAAGTTGTGGTGCGTTTGGGCGGGAAGTCAGGGTAATTAACACTACGGTCACCGGTAAAGTGACCAGACGCAGACCTCTGCGGGCTCTTTGAAGTTTGTAATTTGTCTAGTTGCGCTTGCGCCACAGAACGGGCTGCTGGTGCCCGGCACGTGGCGTGCACGTGACGCTGATCAGGGTTAATGCCGCGCTCGTCGCCGTGGCCTATCAGCAACATCTATATGTCCGATGTGTCTCGCTGCGCAGCTGTCCTAATGATGTCTCATTGTCCAGCCCTGTTCTCTCCTAAAGTGGTGGGCTCCCACCAGCCAGTCGGTCCAAACGGGCGATACAAAAATTACGAATCCAGGTCGCGGCACGAGTTGGTGGACCGGGGGTCCATGGCCAACTGGCCATGTGGCCCATCGGCCATCTACTGCGTTAAAGATTCCCCCTCTGCCTGTGACGACAAATCCGGGAGCATGGCCAGATGAAATTACTCCTGGCTGTGTTGTGCTGAGAAGCACTGACCAGCAAACCCCAGAGGTAGGGTCGAGACCCCAGAGAGTTTTTAAGTGCTGCAGATCCGGTATGGCCTATGGATAAGCCTAAGCGCAGCAGGAGGGAGGCTACAAACTAGCAACCAAAGAGGAACCAACAACCATGGTGCTAATAGTAGAAAATTGACAGCAGCGCAGGGCGTCATGGGATAAAACCAAATCTGATAGCACTATCTTTTTTCTCAGTTCTCACAATGGCTCTGAAATTCATGTAGTGTAACTGTGTCAGTTCTTTCATTTGCAAGCTCGGTTCAAAAATCTAGCTAAATTGGAAGGCTCCATATAGCATCATGAAAAGCCGGGGACCAGTCCATGAAAATCTTGTACGATGATATGAGAAGAGCAATGAATTGTATGTATGTTTCCTCTTGATCCTGCAAGGGGCAGTAGTGGGGTGATTTATCTTTGTAGAAAGCTAAATTGACTGCTTTATTTCACTATTTTTGTCAAGTCCCATATGGAACTGAAGTGAGTTTAGAGGTGGGAGCAGGAGGAATATACACCTTTTCAAGGACAGCATTTTCCTGTTTCACGGACTGTGGCTCTGGTGCTGCACTAATCATCCAAAGAGAATCCCTGCAGAATCAATATTAAAAAGGACCATAAGGTTGGCCCAACTTGTTTGAGGAAAAGAAAATCAACAATGGTTTTTGAGCAGCTAGTTTCCTACCCAGAACCAATTAAATTGCCATTTTAATGAAGAGCAAAGTGTACTTGTAGGAAAACTGAGTACAAAAATGTTAACACTAACCTGCGGCGGTTGGAACTTCGCACCCAGATTGCTCAGTTTAGCATGAGCCTCAGCGTAGTCTCTGAAGAATGCGTCTTGGTCCTCTGCATATTTCTCCGCATAGACCTGGTTGTGTTGTGGATTCTCATACAGTAAGCTCAACAGTTAATTTCATAGGATACAAACATCATACAGTTGATCATCAGAGATCACCTTGAACTTTGGGTCCTCAAATAAAGCAGCATCTGTAGGTAGGACCAGAAGATCTTGATCTCGTTTCTCTTTGATATCCTGAAGTATTGCTACCAGATGAGAGATGATGAACTCGGATCAATTTTTCAGCATGTAATATGTGGCAAAAGGCACGTACCTTGAAGTAACTGTTATCAAATCTCAGCCACTCAACTGTCCATGATTGCCCACCAGGTGCACCAGGACCATTTTTCTGTAAAGAGTAACAAGACATGGTAGATGAACTCACAAGATTAACAAGACAAGCCCAATTTATTCACATACACAATGCAGCACATTTGACTTTCATGTCCCAAGGTAACATCAATGGTCTGGAGAGGATTTATATATAAGTCAAGTGAGCGAATTAAGAAGACGAAGAGACAATACATGATGCAGAGCTTAGTCTGTACATAAATATTAAATATTGCACAAAAGCATCCCAGAAAGGTTAAAGACAATTCTTGGAGCTATGCGGGTGCAATGTACCAAAGCATTAAGAAATTGCAATGTTCCTCTTATTGCAAAATTATAAATGCAATGCAATCCTTGATCAAGACACACTTGATGGAACAAATCATGCTCAAAACAGACTTCCTACAGAAAAGAATAACTGATGTTCCTGCTTTGCACCTCACATAAAGAAGATAAGAACATACAGTATATTTTGTTTCTGGTTTCCCCCAGCCACTTCGTTCAGGCCTGGACCTTCCAAGTGTATGTGCTCCAGACAAGGCAACAATTTCCTACAAACACATGATTAGAATTCCAAACAGCTCAACAAAGTCAATTAGACACACATACTGAAATGGGTTAAGTGTCGCGATCTGCACACCTTGTCATCAAGGCCCATTCTGTAGAATACCTCCCTCAAGTGGTCAGCAGGTGAACTTGGGCCAGCATCTGTGAAACACAAGATAAAGAAAAACTTAAGAGTTGGCAGGCATCAGATTAGTGGAACTGGTTTATATGCTGGTGCATCTATTCCCCTCTACATAACAACAGTTTTTTGACATCAATGTGGCAGTGGGGGTATTCCCATGATTTCTGAAAATGTGAAATACGATTAGTTGATATTCCCAGCAGATAAGAGAAATCTCTAAGTATATCTTTGGTATCTGAACTGTTCCTGCAAACTAACAAAGAGCATTGGTACTGGATGAAGAGCACTGCAAAGCCCATGGAGATCTACTAACCGGGAAGCTTCCCCTCAGGTGGGCACTGCTCAGGTCCTGTAACATCAACTCGTCCGTATTTCATTGGAATCTTTGGGCCACCAGCTTCCTGGAGTGAAATTGACTCGTATTTAACATGGTAGCATATGATTAAAAATAACATAGCCAGATACTTCAATGAGGGAAAGGTCAGACCTCAATTGCTGTAGCACTTGCCAACTGAAATAAATCTGCATAAGTGATACTCGGGTACTTGTCCTTAATTGGTTGGATAAGCTTTAGAGCATTTATCAGACCTTATAAATTCCAATCAGAGGTTGCAGTTACTAATAGTACACTTTAGAAGCATAAAACAATGGTACTGAGAGAAGTTGAGTAACAGTACCAGCATTGGCTCCATGTTTCAACTCAACATCAAATCTTAAGCTTCCGTTAGCTCCACCTCGTTGTGGCCACTCCTCAATATTCTTGTCATACGTACCAGCATCATGCCATCCTAGACGGACCTTCATCCAATCAAACACGTAACAATAAGTCATCTTGCATACAGAAAATGAAGCCCAAAGGTAACCTGACTCCTTACATATATGTCTTAGAAAATACTAGACAATAGACCACCAAAAATTGCATTGCATTTGATAGCTGGAAATCGAAAAAAGGGCGTACCCAGTGCAGAGAGCTCCCGCTATGTGCGGGGTCTGGGGAAGGGTGTCAGTGGCAAGCCTTACCCTCGCCTGTGCAATGCGAGGAGACCGCGACTCGAACCCGGGACCTTCTGGTCACAGGCGGTAAGACTCTACCGCTTGCACCAGGCCCGATCGAAATACACAGAAATTCATTCAACAGAGCTTAGAGCATCGCCAGGAGTTTTGTAAAACAACTCCTTATTTTAATATTTTAGCAAAAAGGGAAAAAGTGTCCTCCAACAGTTTGGTAAAAGAGCTCCTTAAAAATAAAAAGTTGGCAGATATCCTCTCGAACTCGTAAGTTTCCATAGTCAAGAGGAATTCCGTATCCGCTCCCCACCCAGCTTTTTCCTCGAGATCGGACATCGGAGTAAATCGGACGCATGCGTAAATTAAGAAAATAAAGGATAAAGGATTCCAGATGAGAAAGCCGTAAGACACACACAAAAAAAAGTTTGGTTAGTTAGAAATAGTTTGGGTTTCCAATGTAAAAATCATTTAGGAAGCTATTATAGGAGACTGTTGGAGAAGGATAAAATTTAAGATTGCTATTTCTTCTGTTAACTTGCTAGATCTATTAGTTTTACCAAACTCCTGGAGATGCTCTTATCTCAACAAATGGCAGTCCTGTTGTATCTTTAACCTCTAAAACTTAAGACAAAAAGTCATATGCATGCAAATGTAAAATGATTAAAAATGCAGCATAACTAATGAATAGACTCTGACATAATCCTGAAGCGTGCATTGGATATTCAAACTTCCCTAGCATACCCCACTCACTCTTTTGAACTGGCCAATTCCCTTTGAATTACTTAATACCATCTTATGAGCAATCAAACTTCCCTAGCATACCACTCACTGTTTTGATATTCAAACTGGTAATTTTATCTCACACACTTCATGCTATTTCACAACAAACAAACCACTCATGTTGAATCTTATTTGCCTACCTATATGGGCTACAAAAGGGCCAGCTCCAGCATACACTCATTGGTGTCAAGTGAAACCATTCACTTTGTTGCAAGCACTAATTAAATCTCTAAGCATAATTAGGGAAAACATTTATAAGCGAGAAATAACCCATGGTCTAGTAGGAATGGCCCTAGTAACATTTTTTCTGGATCCAGCCCTGCTCAACAGTGAATACTGGATTACATGTCAAGAGGCACAAAACGGGCACCCTGCTCAGTGCTCTGCTCACAAACTATATGCTGCAGAGGCGTATATGAACGGACATCACTAACAAAGTTATTAAAAGTTATCACTACCACTATGTTCGCCAACAGTGATCTTAGCATAGTAAGGTCGTAATTTAAAGCCTCGCATCTTCTATTTTAGCAGTGTGATGGTAAGCTAGCAAAGAGTTTAGTCAAATCCTAAATCACCATCATGAATTCATACAATTGATGAAGTTTATGAATAACGTAATTTAAGCGAACGGCAAGGGTCACCGTACGCACCAGGATGGGGTGGCAGTGAGTCGTCCTGAGAAGCTCCCTGATGTCCTCGCGCGCGGCCTTCACCTGAGCCACGTCAGACGCCGCCGCCACAGCCGCGCACCTCACTGCCCTCGCCTTCTGCGATCACACACGTAAACACGAGTCAACAGCCGATCTGCAGCTGCTGCTGCTGCTGCACCATTTCAATTCTAGGGACCAAGCCGCAGCCGCAGCCGCCCTGATAACCCAACAGAGGCGGTATACGGACACGGACCTGCGGCTGCGGGAGCGGAGACGGCGCGGCGCGGAGGCCGACGCGCGCGCGAGCCGATGACGCCGGCGAGGGCGGGAAGAAGGCGCGGCTGGCCCGCGCCGCGCGGCGGGCGGACGGGGTGCCAGCGGCCGAGGCGCGGAGGGTGGCGGCGGATGCGGCGAGGCGCTCGGCCATGGCGGGTTTGGTTTGGTTGGTGTTGGTGGGAGCAGCGCGGCGGCCCTTGGAGAGAGGAGGGGCTGCGGCTGCTTGCGAGACAAGTGGTTGATTGACTTCAGGTGATTCCACCACGGCGCCTCGCCTGGGTTTCGAGGGGTTTTGGTGTTTGTTGGTGCGCGGAGCGTGCTCTGCTCCTGCTCTCGGCTTCTCGGGCCTGTGCGGCCTGCCGCGTGGGCTACTGGGGTTGGTTCGTTTGGTTGGTGCTCGTTTTTTTTTCTTTTGTTGTCGCTAGTCAGTTTATCACGCGGCGGCCAATGAGCGCCGGGCGCGTTTGGGGACTCCGGCGGAGACTTGCGGTGTTCGGTGGTGACTGGTGACGGTGACGGATGCGTCGGCGTCCCCGGCAGGTGGTGACTTGGGGTTTTGCCTTAAGCCCAACTGGTGCCCACAGCCCACCTGCCCAACTGGTATCATATGTTTCCAGCCCAACTGGTTCCACATCCTCAGCCCATTGACGCGCAAGTAGTGGGCCTACCAGCCAGTGGCCCAGTGCCAAGGCGCGATAACGAGCGGCGGGTCAGGCAGAGGCCACAGCGCTAGCGGCATAGCCGGCGACAGAAACAACCCATGCCACTCGTCGGCTGTCCCCGCCGCGGTCCGCCGCTTTCACTCGCCTGCCGCCGCCGCCGCGACTTGTATCGGGCCCGAGCCGTCGCGCCCAAATGCGAGGCCTCCTCCTCTCCTCCGCTCCTGACCCGGAGAGTGTCCGCTGCCTCGCTGCTTCTCGCTGTCATCCCCATCCCCGCGTCGTCGCCGCAACTCCCCGTCGCCTCCGCGTTGGAGGCGGAGGCGGCGGAAGGAGAACGCGGAGCTTCCGAGGGGCTAGAATTGGAGAGGTACACCGACCAGGAGCAGGGCTTCACCCTCCTCAAGCCGACCTCCTGGCCCAAGGTAAGGGTCAATTTGAACATGAACGACGTCAATACTCCGTGACAACGTAAGGTAGCCGTAGGAGCGTAGGATACTTTGGAACTCGATATTTTGTGTACTTTGGGATTGTGGATTGCACTTGTGAATTTGCTGTGCTGAAGTCGCGTGGTTGGTGAAGGTGGAGAAGGCAGGCGCGACGGCGCTGTTTCAGCAGGAGGGAAAAGGGAGTAACAACATCGGGGTTGTCGTCAACCCCGTTCGGCTCAATTCGCTGACGGAGTTCGGGACGCCGCAGTTCGTCGCGGACAGACTTCTGCAAGCAGAGAAGAAAAAGGTAGAAATGCCTGAACAGTGTTTTCTTGGCATTGCAAGTATTCTGGTCAGGGCCACTTATGAACGCTTGACATTTGAAGTACACTATTTGAATGGACCACTAATGTGCTGATCATGATTCAGGAGGTTCTCATTGATACCTGTATTCTATGTACAATTGGCGAGATCTTTGGTACTGGTAGCTTCCTAGCAGCTGACTGAATCATTTTGCTTAAAACAGGAAAGTACCAAGTCTGCCGAGGTGATCTCAGTGGGAGAGAGATCAGGTCATGGTGGCCTGACAGTGTATGAAATCGAGTACACACTGGATAGCACTAGGGGAGGGATGAAACGGATCTTCTCGGGTGCATTTGTTGCTTCAAGGAAGCTATATCTGCTGAACATAGCCTATTTAGACACCCAGGAGAAGCCCTTGGACAGCGAGACAAGAATTGTTCTGGAAAAAGTTCTACATTCTTTTGATTCTGTATAGTTGATATTTTTTATGCAGAGGTATGGCACTTTTTCTTATTTTCGGAATTTCTTTCACTTGAAAAACAGTCGCAAGTATTTGTTTGTTTGTAAAAAGAGTGCTAATCAAATGGTTGCAGTGTCCTTTTGTCCAATACTGTTGCACCTTTATCAGTGATGTCAGGCTATAACTAATTTCAGTTTAGATAATGAACTTCATCTTCCACAGATTGGTAACATTATTTGTGTCATAGGCAGTAAAATGTTGTGATCTTAATTCCTAGCCTGGCATTACTGCATTTGTAATATCTTGGACAAAGTGTTGGGCAGTGACAGTTTACTCCTTGAAAATCTGTAACGCCTCATGTCCTAAAATACAATCATTTGATCATTAAATAGGATACAGGATGGGAAGAGTTAGAGGAACAAAGAAAAGGCCAAGTAGTATTAAACTGCCAAAAGTTTCTGAAATCCAGGCTCAGTTCACTTAAATGATGGTCTGTGCTGACTGCTAACTTGAGCAAAAAAAAAAAAAAAAAAAACTCAAATACACAAGAGCATTGCATATTATTGTATAAGAAGATAGAAGTTTTAAAATACAAGAGAGACCGTTCTCGGCCCAGAAGTTACCGTAAAGAGGCTACATTTTTACTATGACAACCTTGGGATCCATTGGGATCAACATAAACTACGCGTGGGCCTATGGTGCCATGGCCGAAGGCCGGAGAGCTTACGGTTAGATGAAAATAAGGAGCAAGTGAGAACCTGTCTAATCATAGCAACTACAGCATTCACGTTAACATGTTAATCATGTGAAGTACAGTAGAATTCACATTGAAGATAAAGATTAGAAGAAATTAGTAATCTAATGGTATTGTCATATAGGAATTAGCACATTCCCCATCCTTTAACAGTCAAACTCTGTAGAGAAATCTAGAACAAGGCACACGCACACATAAATTTCTTTCATATGGATAAAGTATATTATCAGACTTGAATGTTTAGCCATCTCATGATTCTCCAAAAAAGACAACATAAAGTTTCTCCATTGAAAGAAGCATTGTACCTTTCAAAGGGCTCTTTTGGACATTCTGAAATAGGGTTCTTTTGGACCATTTCCTCGACTTTCTCCTTCAGATGACATATGAGAGAATATTCGCTGAAGTAGAGACTTTTGATTCAGGCAACTGAGACTCTCCGCTCTCCGGTGTCTGGTCCCACCCTGTTGGGAAGTGGATAGCATATGATGGTAACACAGGTGCCATGTTGTCAGTGGCTTGAGCTATTTAGTGTCCTATTCTTATACAAGTGTTAGAAAAGGGATAGTGCTATTTAGATGTTAATACTCTGTAGAAAGGTACACTAGATTATTGTGGTTGTGCGAGATGAGCTGTGGCGTTGTTTTTAGATGGAGAAACGGTACTCATCAAGAAACGATTTTCTGGCAAATGCATCCAAAATTGTCAACCATATGCCCTGGAATTGGGCTTTCGCACTACTATTGTACTTGGGATCTTGATGAACTGGTCAGAAGCCGTAATCTTTCAGTGATTCAGTCCAGCGAGATAGTTGCATGGGAATATCATCCACTATCCCAGCCTCAAAGTTGGGAGCTGGTCAAAGGAGCAAGACTTGTCCTCGTCCCTTTTGGTTTTAAGAATCTTTACTTCGTTGTCACTTGAGAAAAACCTGACTGATGATGGTGTCCGAAAAGATTGCATTGGCAGGTGCTAAGTTGTCATGAAATCTTGCTGTTGATGGCCGTTTCACAACAGCACCACTCTGTTTGTTTTTGTTGGTACAAGTTGCACCATCAATTCTGAACCATCACGCTCCATGCTTTTACACACTGTTGTCAGCTGCAGGCTGGAATTATAAGTTGATCCATTTTGGATGCAACTTGGCATCAGCAAACCTTTTGTGTCGATTCCTTGCTCTTCTGGCTCTCTCGAGTCGACAGCACGGGGGCGCATGTCTCAGCTTCTTCTTTCTCATGCATAACAGGCCGACGACAGGCAACAAGGCAACATGTCACGTGTGTGAATGGATCAAGGTGTTCTGGACTGGACGTGAGCCTTTTGTTTGCAATCGTAGAGTTAGTTACGTGCAGCGAAGGAGACCGCGGGTTCTCTCCTCCGAACGTGGGACGGCTATAACTTCGCGTGGCGCCTCGAGATGAAACCAAGCCGAAATACTGATCCGACTCACACGTATTATATTCTGATCCTGAGATCGCATACCCAGTGGTGGATGCAGAACATGATTAAAGGGAGCTGGTCTCTTCTTCTTCCTCTCTCTCTATTTTTCTTCTTTACTCCACATCTTCTTCTCTCTCACCCTTTCCATATTTCCATTGATGCACCAGCCGTAAAGGGGGCTGGACCCCTTAGATCCGCCCCTGCGCATACCTTCACATTCTAGCACCCAATTTCATTTGACCGATTATTTCTTTATTTTCCTTTGACTTATTTTAAGAATTTGAACTGTTAATTGTCACTTACGGAGAAGTCAACTATTTTCAATGTAACCAAATATATATAATAAAATATTAATATTTATGGTGCATAATTAGTATCATCAGATGAACCACTGAATATATTTTATTTCACAAAAATATTTAATGAAAAAAATAAATATTGCAAATATTTTTTATAAACCTGATAAAAACTTTAAAAAATCTGACCCGTGAAAATAAATTTTTTTAGACGGAGCAAGTACACACGTACGCTGCCGTAGACTAACATAAGTACGTACTTGTATTTGCATGTCACTATGATCACTCAATATTCAGTGCAGTATATAATTCTAAATTCTTTACGCCGAAGGACGCGTGCGTCAAAAAAAAAATTTGTAGAAAAAGGAAAAAATTGCGTTCGTGGATTTCCTGTCTACGTCGGCACGCACGGACCTTTTCAAAGGCCGTTTTTGTACTGTACGTTTGTGTAGGAGAAGGAACTGATGGCGACACGTGGGGCCCACTTGCTGCACGAGGGGAGAGAAAGTTTGCTGCGACGTCCGCGCCATTGGTCCCATGGATCAAGTCAGTCAACGGAACGGCCGCTCCGGCTGGCCCGTCCCGTTTGAACGCGATGGCAAGTGTGGATGCAATGCAACAAGAAACATGTAGCTGATGCCCGACAAATATGCAGCGTAGACTCTGCTCGCTTGAACGAAGTAAGAATGAACAAGCATCCTTTCTTAGCTTGGCATCGCGCACACACCAAATATTACTACGTTGAAAAGCATCACGCATGAACACAATATATTTGTTTTTTGTGTGTACAAAGATATGATGTTTCACGGATATACCAAAAGCTTGCTATAGGAAGATGGCATCACCGCCATGACACTCGTGGTCCGTCATATACTCATACATGGAAACGAAAAGAGGGAAGAAAACATAGTCATTCACGAGGCGTGCATGACACATGATAGTGTGTAAAAGCACACAAACTCGTCACTGGAAGTCTGTGACCATTATTGCGCATAGCCCATGGGCATGTTCGTTACAAATTCATGCGCCAGACACTTCGAACTATACACATCTCACGAAGTTTAAAGTAATATAATCGATTTTATTGCTTCAATTTCGTAGCATGCCGTGTATTTTTTCTGGTTGATTAACCTCTCCGTAGAAAACACACACAAATTCATGGTGCGGATTGGACAGGTGCAAAAACTGAAAAAAAAGAGCAAAACAAGGATAAGAAACTGTACTTTCAAAATTTCAATGCGAGCAGCACTACAGCATTGCTTCTGCCTTCTGGTACACTTGAAGGTGCGCATATAATTTGCCATGCATGTATGGTAGTAGAGTCCTTGCTAGCTACGCGAGACGAGCTGTCTCGGATAAAAGAATCCCGTTAGTCAACCCTGGGGATGCGCGCAAGTACACGCGGAGAAAAATCAGACTCAGGAAATATATAAAATTCCAGATCGCTCGCTGCACGTAACGAACGCCGACAAACAAACAGAGGCGCAACCGGCGGTCCGGCGCCGCAACCCAACACCGCAGGAGTCCTCTCCTCCCATTCCCATTCCTTCTCCTCTCCCTCCCCTGCGGCTGGCCGCTGGTGGCTGCCGTGCCCACTGCGCCCAGCCACCCACGAACCACGAGCCACCTAGGCTTTCCTCCGTGCGCACTCCTCGAGACGCATCGTTCCCCGAGGCGTGAAGGAGGACAGGACCCCACTCAAGGCAACGTGTACGGCGAGGCGAGGCGGCGGGGTTCGGTCGGCGCGGCTTTGATCGTTCGCCATGGCCGGCGGGGAGAGGGAGGACGCGCTGGTGATGGACTCCGGCGAGAAGCGCCTCAACGAGCTCGGCTACAAGCAGGAGCTCCGCAGGGAGATGGTACTTCCTTTCTCTTCTCACATGTTCTTCCTAGTATGGGTTTGTTTCTGGAGTTTTCGGAGGCACACGGTGCGATCAGGTTTGAATAAACCTGTTTACTACGGATGAAAATCGCGCCGTAGTAGAAGCCTGTTCTTTTTGTTTGAAGAGAAAAAAAACCATCGGTATAAAAATGTGATCTTGATCGTCTTTCTTTGCGACTGAATTGAGTTTCTTTCTTCTCGGTTCTCAAGATTCTGATGTACGTCTGTTTGCCGTGTGCCTGCAGACGCTGTTCAAGACGCTGGCCATCTCCTTCTCCACGATGACGCTCTTCACGGGGATCACACCGCTGTACGGGAGCAGCCTGCAGTACGCGGGGCCGGCGCCACTCGTCTGGGGCTGGGTCGTCGTCTCCTTCTTCACCTGGTTCGTCGGCATCGCCATGGCCGAGATCTGCTCCTCATTCCCGGTATTTCGTGCTGCACTTTCCCTCTCTCTCTCTGATTACCATGTCTTTGATTCGTGATTTGGCCACTCGTGCCAGTTTTTTTTTTTTTTTTTTTTTTTTTTTTTTTTGAAAGGGCTTACCTCTTGATTGATGCTAGTTGCCTTGCATGGTCAGATTTTCGCGTTCATATGCAGATTTTGCCAGCTATGTTTGGTTTAAATGGTACCATAGAAATCATCTGTTATCGCTTGCGTGGTTTTTTTATTTACTTTTGGCATATGTTACGCGAGGTTACTTATTTAATTCCCTACCTATCTTCTGTTCTGAGTCTGTCAACGCTCTGCATACTGAACCTTTGTTTTTTCTTGAAACATACGTTTCTTACGGATCCCAGAAGAAGACTGAAAAATGTCACGCACCAAATCATACAGCTACTTCAATTTGTACATAGACCGACGTTACCCGGTCGCTTCTCTTTTTAAAAAAAATCATACAGCTAATTTGTATTGCTAATTTTCTTCAATCTGCCCAACCATCCTAGCAATGTTGCAATATGAAGTTTTACTGTCATGACTTTTCAACGGCATGGTTGCAACTGCAACGCATTGTTCTGATATACTTGTGCTCGTTCTTGTGAGAAAGGCTTGTTTGTTTCTGATCACATATATTTGCAACTGAAAACTGACACAGTTTTTGTTTTTTGAGAGCAGACCACTGGTTCTCTCTATTTCTGGGCTGCTCATTTGGCTGGTCCAGTCTGGGGTCCGTTGGCATCTTGGTGCTGTGCTTGGCTGGAGGCCATCGGCCTCATTGCCGGAATCGGCACGCAGGTACCCTCCTCTGTTTATTAGTAGTTACTAATCTTGCCACATCCTGAAACTGTCTATGACTGTAGTGATCTTCCTCTATTCTTCTGTACAATTTCATTTGATCCTTACATGGCAAAATGGAAATTGCTAGCTGTCCATTTCATTATTACTCCCTGTTTATAGCAAATCTCTCACATGCTCTAGTTTTCTGCAGTAATCTACCTCTGCTCTGGTGTGCAATTTCCATTTAATCCTTACGCGCAAACAATGGAAACTAACAACTGTCAATTTCATACACGCTGTCTAGACAACTCATAATAACTCGTAGTGTACCAAATTAAATGTTCTATTCTACTCTGTAATCTCCTATTTGATCAGGTCTTTCAAAAATTTCAACTTGATCTAAACAATGGAAACTTACTGTGCACTTCAGTACTCACATGAACTCAACCAATCACACAACCTACCATGCCAACTCAACTTGCCTGCCTCTGTGTTGCAATTCCAGGCATATGCAGGATCCCAAGCATTGCAGAGCATCATCCTACTCTGCACCGGCACCAACACGGGCGGTGGCTACCTGGCCCCTCGCTGGCTGTTTCTGGTCATGTACATCGGGTTGACACTGATCTGGGCCGTGCTCAACACTTTTGCTCTTGAAGTCATTGCCTTCCTCGACGTGATCTCCATGTGGTGGCAGGTAACCTAACCGCTACCAGATTTGGAGAGGCCATTCTTCTCATCTCGTGGCACGCCATGCGCCTGTTTCTTGCCCGGCTTCAGCTGCTGTTTGGTGCTTGCATTGCAGGTGATCGGCGGCACCGTCATCGTGGTGATGCTCCCGCTGGTGGCCAAGACCACGCAGCCGGCGTCGTACGTGTTCACCCATTTCCAGACTGCGCCTGATGTGACCGGGATCAGTAGCAGCGCCTACACCGTCGTCCTGTCCTTCCTGGTGAGCCAGTACTCGCTGTACGGGTACGACGCGGCGGCGCACCTGACGGAGGAGACCAAAGGCGCCGACAAGAACGGCCCCATCGCCATCCTCTCCAGCATCGGCATCATCTCCGTGTTCGGTTGGGCGTACATCCTGGCCCTCACCTTCAGCATCCAGGACTTCAGCTACCTGTACAACCCGAACAACGAGACCGCCGGCACGTTCGTGCCGGCGCAGATCCTGTACGACGCGTTCCACGGGCGGTACAACAGCTCGGTCGGCGCCATCGTGCTGCTGTTCGTCATCTGGGGCTCCTTCTTCTTCGGCGGGCTGTCCATCACGACGAGCGCGGCGCGGGTGGTGTACGCGCTGTCGCGGGACCGGGGCGTGCCGCTGTCGTCGGTGTGGCGCCGCATCCACCCGCGGCACAAGGTGCCGGCGAACGCGGTGTGGCTGTGCGCGGCGGTGTGCACGCTGCTGGGCCTGCCCATCCTGCGCATCAACGTGGTGTTCACGGCCATCACCTCCATCGCCACCATCGGGTGGGTGGGCGGCTACGCGGTGCCCATCTTCGCGCGCATGGTGATGCGGGAGGACGACTTCCGCCCCGGCCCCTTCTACCTCGGCCGCGCCAGCAGGCCCGTCTGCCTCGTCGCCTTCCTCTGGATCTGCTACACCTGCTCCGTGTTCCTGCTCCCCACCGTGTACCCCATCAAGATGGACACCTTCAACTACGCGCCCATCGCGCTCGGCGTCGTCCTCGGCCTCATCATGCTCTGGTGGCTGCTCGACGCGCGCAAGTGGTTCAAGGGCCCCGTCAGGAACATCGACGAACACAACAACGGCAAGGTCTGAACACCACCTACGTCAAGCAAGCCTCAAGCGACTCGCGCCATTCTCTCTTTTTGAACACCATGGGTGCTGATGAACACCGTGCTCTCCCTCTGTGTGTATCAGTGGGGTTTAGATTTTAGATTGTGGAGTGAGACCTCTGGGTGACATGCAAGGAAACTAGAGGTCGACCCACTATGTAAAACAGAGGAAAAATTGAGCAAACACAAAAGGAATATGAATGACCAACAAAGTACAAGCATGGGGACATTGATGTATGCTCCCTCTGTAACTACGTTATTTTAGGCCTGTTCTAAGCCAAACTTCCCAAACAATATAACTTCGATCAAGTTTTTAGATGTAAGCCAAAGAAGAGAAAGGGACACATTTTTTTTTTTGAAATGAATCAAGCGAAAAGCTGCTAAAAGAAGACAAAGGAAGGAACACACAGGAAGAACAAGTAACACATTGAGAAAACACCGATGCTAAACCTCTGTTCTAAACGGTAGTATGAAATTTTGTTCATGCTTTCTGTCTAGTCATGTATATGCTGTGTGTTTATGTTGTGTATCTCTTACACAACTGTGTATATGTTGTGTCGAATGGTGTCAGCCATCGCATACTTTATTGGAGGGAGTTAAATCATTGATCAACAATATGGTCATCATATATGGTTGCCTGTTTTTTCTTTTTAATTTTTGATGAGGAAGTGTTGCATATCTCTTTCTTTTCTGGCCGGCCGGTAATGCTGCATGTGTTGCTTACTACTCCCTCTATTTCAAATTATAAGTCATTCTAACTTTCTTAGAGAGTCAAAACATAACAAGTTTGATCAAAATTATAGAGAGGATTATAAAAATTTATGACATTACATAGGTATACTATAAAAATATATAAATAATGAAGAATCTAATAATATTTATTTGATATCATAAATGTTATTATTTTATTATATAAATTTGGTTAAATTTGAGATGCTTTGACTCCCCAATAAAGTTGGAATGTATAATTTGGGACGGAGGGAGTAACTGATGTATAGCTCGATCGTGCAATCATGTTTCCGTTGTCGTTTTAACCCTCGTTGACATTATTTGAGATATCTCGAACGTGATCATGTACACTGCTCGATTACTTTTCAGGATAATATATATTTTGTTTATTTTGTGCAACAAGAGATGGCGATCCAGGTATCTGGGAACTGTTTAGTATTAATTGGTGCCTCGTATGTATGAACATTTCAATCTTTATGAGATGGGGCTGCCTTCAGGAAGTTCATGTACACATCGTCGTCCTTACTTGTAATTATACAACTGTCGTCAGGCCTGAATTTTTTTCACATGATGAGCCTATATATATACTAGACAGTTCCACATAAAAGCAGTTGTTGGGTGACTAATCCATAGTTGAGAAGAGATAAAAAAAACGATACTGTAGTTGAGAATGCAATAATTCATTTCAACAAAGTTCAAGTTTAACTAGACAACTATATATATATGGTTATTTGCCTTTTCTCACAGGACCTAAGAATAGGTGGAATTATGATCTATATGCCCTAAACATAATTGACACCCCGGAGCACTCATCATCATCAGGGCAAGGATCAGAATGGTGCTGCCACAAAGTACCTCTAGTCTCAGAGATACTTGGAGATCTCAGTGGCAATGTAGGTACGCATGAAGCAGGTGTTCCTTTCGATGTCAAGCTTGGCCACTCGCAGCTCCTTCTTCCTCACGTCAACAGCAGCCACTAACCCCATCAGACCCCTGCTGGCAGCCTTGCACGACAGGTAAACAACATCCGTCTTGTTAAGCCGCTTATGCTGATTTATACAGCTGATTTGTTGGAAGAGAAAAATACTATACCATGGTTGTTAAGCCGGCTTATATGAGCAGCCGAACTATACCATCGTCGTCGATGCTCAAGGCGGGGTAACCCATATGCAGGACTCGGGGACAAAGCTGCTTCTTTGGCCTCCTCCTCATCACAGTCACCACCGCTGCTGCTCATAAGCTCTTGCAGCAGCTCACAGTTCCTTGGGTCACCGTCACCGACGTCGAATTCATGCGATTCGGCGGTGCATTCAGTGTGCCAGTCCTCCCATGAAGTGACCGGGATAGGCATGGCCTTCCACCAACCAGGGACCACGGAGCGCGTCGGCGGAGGCAGGCAGTCCTTGCGGCGCACCCATTCAAGATACGTGGCAGGTTCAGGGGAGGACACGGTGTTCTTCACCACTCTCGGCGGAACGATCTCCATCTCGACGTACTTGATGCACTCCTTGTGCTGGCTGACGGTGATGTCCCGGACAAAGCGCTCGCCGTCATTGAGGAACCTTCCCAGTTGCCCTTGGCCGGCAGCGGCAGCGGCACGTCACGCAGCTTGGGACGCTCCTCGAGGACGTCGCAGAGGAGGATGCCGCGCCAGAGATCGACCCAGCCCACCGTGCCGTTCGCGCCTCCAAGCGTGATCACGTTGCTCGTCGCGTGGTAGAAGTGCCTCTTCGCCGTGTCTGGGATCGGGCACACGCTGTCACGCAGCGGCGTCTCCACGGAAACCGGCTGGACCGTCCAGCTCCCCGTCTCGCCGCAAGGTTTGGAGCGGTACAGGTGCAGCGTGAAAGAAGGGATGATCTTGAGGGCGGCAACGACGTACTGATTGTCGTCGCCGTCGGCGGTTACCGCGCCGCGGCTAAGTATGGCGATCTCTTGGTCTCCGAAGCAATAGGGCCACGGGTTCGGGAGCAGATCCAGTTTCGGGTCCTGACGGTGCGCCCTGTAGACGAAGTAGTCGTTGTACTGGAAGTAATCCTTGCCCAGAGTGTTAACGGGGACCCGGAGGACGACGAGGTCGGCGGCGGCGGCGACAGCGACAGCGCAGGGCGACAGGCTCAGATCGTCTGGTGGTAGCTGCAGACCGGGGCAGTGCACGGAGATGTGGGAGAGGGCAGGCGGGGGCACGGTGCAGAAAGTCACCTCGATGGTATGGCCGGAGCTCGTCTTTGATCTGGCGGTGGAGGCGTTCTTGCTGGCGCCGCTGTAGGCTTTGACGTCGAGAAGGACGCTGCGGGCGTTCTCGTCGCCGCAGCCTGCGGGGCTAGCCGCGTCGTCGTCGTCGGCGGCGGCCATGGCGTTCGATGGATCCACCAAGATCCAATCGGAGAAGGAGAATTGTTCCGCAGCGGCGTCGCCCATGGTGTTCGATCAAATCCAATCCGAGAAAGAGAATTGTTGGATCGATTAGAGATGGGCTCCACGTGGGAGCGGCGATAGCATGCGAAATTTTAGATTGATGACCTTTTACTTTTGTCCAGTCCATTCTTTTCAGCCCAACAGTCCAACCACGGCTCTGTATCGGCTTCCGCATCCGAGTCCAAGTCTGCGCCCAGCTTCCCTGGGAAAAAAACCGTATCCACCTTGTGGTGCCGTGCATACCTACTCGGATGGAGGATGCGTGTGCACGGAACGCATCAACTATCCTAGACGTCGTGGGTGCTAGGTGCTACTACTAGAGCCGAGCGCATGGGAAATAATCTTTCAGAGGAGCTGCCTCTACCGGGCCGTTTAATGCGTTCCGTGCACACGCGTCCTCCATCCGAGCCAGGTATACACGGCGCCATGGTGGATACAGTTTCTATGCAATTCCTCCCTATCTGGGCCCTGGCCCGTCCGTCTGCGGAAACGGAAACTGCCGTTGCCTCCTGCATGTGACGCCTCATGTGAGGTTTTGGGCAAATTGAGCATCGTTGGATGGGCCACACCAAGAAACTCCGACCCATGTAAGGGCAAGTATATTGCTACGCGTTAGCGGACTCGTACTCCCGTCTCATGTAGCGTCACGTAGGATTTTTATTGATGTGGAGGAAAAAAAGAGAAGAGGGAGATCGCGAAAGAACCACTTCATGAGCTAAAATTTAGGACTACAAGACAGCTATTATATCATTGTATGAGTTGTTGTTGCCATACAACTTACACTTTTACTTTTATTCTATGCATAAATTAAGAAATTGTGAGTCACTACAAGACAACTTAAAAAACATCCATTGTACATGTTGTTTATTAAATCGTCGTAAAATTATGTGGCACCATACGAGACAACACATAGACAAGACCCATGTACCTATCCTAGTCTAGTGTTCTATATTTTTGGTTGTTTTTTTTCTTCATTTATCAAAGTGATATCTTTTGTCTATTGTTACATAAATTGTGCATTATCAACAGCTAGTACTTTTTTAATGAATCAATGGGTTAGTAATTGCTTCCGAGTTTCGTTTGGTTTTGCGGTCCATTGTGTTAAGTGACTCTATTAACAGATGTACATCATTCGTTATTAGTCTAGGTAGGTTCATTGTACCACTGGCCCTGTTTGTTTGACTTGTAATTCGTACTTTTTAACTTATTTTTTTAGCCGGAACAATATTTTTCTCTCACGATAAATCAGCCGGAACAGTGTTTCGATTTGTTTTTTTTAGCGAAGCGAACAGGGCTACTAGCTGTCGATGTTTCACCACCGATAGCCTGCCACGGGGGTACCCGGGGCAGTTTGTTCGGGCTTCAGCGTATGCAGAGCTCGACGGTAAACGCAAGAGACAGTCGATTTATCTTGATTCGGACCCTCGATCGTTGATCGAGTAATAGCCCTACATTCAGTCGACGTTAGCCTTTGCATTGGATTGATTGTAAAGTGTTATGTCGTGTCGTCGTAAAAGTCCTTTATCTAGGAAGCCTGCCCTCCTTTATATAGTCAGGAGGCCAGAGTCCTAGTCGGTTTACAATGTGAGTTCCTAGTAGACTTACAGAATAATACTACTACTAAGATTACATGGGAAGAAACCTAGTTAGACTAGATCTTCTCCTTTCCTTGCGGGGTATCCTGTGGGTTTCGCACCGACAAGCCCCCGAGCACTTTATGGTTGAGCTCTGGAAGCCTCTTCTTGTTCCTTCTGATCTTGCCGAGCAGGAACAAGCATCGTCCGAGTGTTTTCTTGAGCGAACCCGTGTAGCGCTTCGTGAGATCTTCGCGTGGTGTGTACCTTTTTGAAGAAAAAAAATACTCCCATTTAGGTGTAGCCCCCGAGCCTCTTGCTATTTGGAACAATGAGCTGGAGGGTCTTCTCTTAAAATCGCTCTGATTCTTCGTCGAAGGGCTCCTGAGCCTATACCCGGGTTCTTTATCTAAAAAGAGCTCGGATATAGATAGGTCCGGGTTCTTTTGGTCTTGAGGCCTTGAAGTGGTCTGTCTTGAAGAAGTCTTCTGAGTGATGTGTATTTTTTTAAAGAAAAAAGTACACTCACTGAGTGTAGCCCCCGAGCCTCTTGCTATTTGGAACAAAAAGTTTGAGGGTCTTGAATCTTATGTTGTTTGGAAATTGCTGTCTTGAAGAAGTCTTCTGAGTGATGTGCGCTTTTTCGAAGAAAAAAGTGCACTCACTGAGTGTAGCCCCCGAGCCTCTTGTTATTTGGAACAAATAGTTGGAGGGTCTTGATTCTGAGTTGTTCAAGTTACTGGAAACCTCTTTTGTTGCAGCCCCATCTTGAATCTGAGTTGTTCAAATGACTGAAAGCCTTTCTTATTGCAACCCCCGAGCATACCTGGGTTCTTTTATCCGAAAAGAACTCGGATACAGGATCTTGGCATGTTCTCTGGTAGTCTGATGTTGTCAGATATAGTTGTATGGTGGTGGTTGATAGTAAATGCTGTTTGTTCGCGAGTTGTACAGTATTGGTATATTCTTCCGAATATGCTCGTTCTTGAGTACTGCTCCTTCACGCCTGAGTCCTCTTTCATTGAATTCTGTCTTTTCACTGTGTCCTTTGTTAGGTTTGTTCCGTTGGTGCTCCCAGTCCATGTGCACCGCTTCTTTGGCTTATAAATATCCTCCTTGTGTGCTGTTTTGATTCATCAAGCATTTTGTTGCGTGGTCTGAAATCTCCGTAGTCATGAATATGGTAGTTTGTGAAGTAGAGTAGCCCCCGGACGTATTTTGCAATTCTTGTGTATCTTGCCGTAGCTGGAGGGAGTCTTGTGATAGGGATTAGAGGTAGACTAATCCTACAGCAACATTGTACTTGTAAGTACGTGGCGGTAGTCGGAGGGAGTCTTGTGATGTGGGATACGTTCCTTCATCTGGCAGTTCTGGCTTGATCCTCGTCGTCTGCCCTGAGACTGTCCGGTGTAGATCAACACCATATCCAGCATCACATCGGACTTGGGTAGACAGATGCCTGCCGGCCTTCTTTGCTCCGTGTTGTCCCGCCATGCTACTGATTTCCGCCTTGGATGCACTGCGTCCGTCCTTTGAAGAAAACAGTGTAGCCGAGTGCGGGTTGTTCTACCGAGTAGCAATTTGGAACACATAGTCGTTCTAGAGCCTAGCTGTGTCCGGATTCCTCTTTGCTACATTGCTTGTCGTAGTACCGAGTTCGTTGGGTCTTGTAAGATGTGTAATCTTCTATTTTTTGAAACCATTTATAATGGAAAGAATCTTGTCTTCTGAGTTGTCATTCTTTATTCTACTGATGTCCCGGTTGTTTTTGAGATTCCTGAGTTCTTTCTATAAGGACCGGGTTGTTGCATTCCTTGTGAGGTAACCCTTCGTTGCTTCATGGTTGATGAGTTCTTTTTGTAGCAATATGATAACTCTGCCGTGGTGCTGGATGGATAAGTCTAGAATTTGCCTGTTGAACTATACCGTTGTGTGGATTTGTGCCGTCCGTCATTTTAGCTGTCAGTAAATGGACCGTTGCGCTCTCATGCCGTGTTTAAACGGGCCAGGTGGGCCGTGTTTTACTACTGTAAAATTTATTTAAGGGCCTTTCTTCTTCTTTTTCTTTACTGCCCTGCTTTTGCCTTGAAACCCTAGTCTTCAAAACTCCGCTGCCACCATTGTCACCGTCATCTGAGCGCCGCCGTCTGAGCATCACCTTTCCTTAGTGCTTTTATTGCTTTCGCTAGTATATGGGTAGGAAGAAATCAGTGAGCAAGTCTCAGGCAGCCTTCGTGGACGAGGAGGCCTCGCTTTCCGTGATTGAAAATCAAGAATTCATGGCCATGAGGGCTGCTCAGAAGATCTGGCCGGCTCCGACTACAACTGAGGATCAGTTGCGCGAGCTTGTCAGTGATGGTCTGATCCAGAGCAAGGATATTGCTGATTGGAGAGCTCCAGGCGAGCATCAGGTCCCTAGTCCAGGTTCTGGTGAGATTATTCTTTTCATCTCCTTTATCCGTGCCGGACTCTGCCTTCCCGCTTCTACTTTTTTCTTCACCGATTTCTCAGCTATTTTGGGATTAGCCTAAACCGTCTTGCTCCCAATGCTGTCCTTCATCTTTCTATTTTCGTTCATCTTTGTGAAACTTTCCTTAGAATTCCTCCTTCTCTTTCTCTCTTTCGTTACTTCTTTCGTCTGAAGCCACAACCCCGTCGCGATGATACCAATGTTCTTGGTGGCTGTGGGATTCAATTTCGCCAGGGTCTTAAGGGCAAATTCTTTGACTATGACCTGGTTGATTCTGTGAGGGATTGACGTGCCGACTGGTTTTATGCCACCAATTTGATTCCTCCTCTTTCCGTTCATTCTGGATCTGGTCCCTTGGTTAATGACCGATGGGAAAAGAACCCCTAACGACGGATGAGAGCCAAGCGATCAAGCCATTTCTTGAGAGGATATGTACTCTGAAGCAGCAGAGCTTGACCGGCTTCGGTATCGTCTCTAGTTTTCTTCGCTGCCGTGTTCAGCCTCTGAAGGAGCGGGAGAATTTTGGGTTTGAGTACTCTGGGGTGGAGGACCCTTCTCATATGGTCCCTGCCCTTGAGTTGACTGATGAGGAGGTGCTCGAGCATCTTCAGAAGATGCTGAAAGGAGTAAGCGTCATCCCGCTTGCTGTCCTTGAGTATAGTGCTAACAACCCGCCTCCTGCTGTGAGTTGTTTTTTCTTATGCGGGTACTTTTTGTATTTCTTTTGCTGTCTTCACTTTTGCTTAATCTTTCTTGTCTGGTTGTTATACTCTTTTTATAGGAATTGGGGCGTAACTTTGTTGATCCGATCCCCCTTGGTGACTGCCCTGCCATTGTGGGGATTGGGGATAGTCTTGCTAGGGCTTCTTTAACCAGTAAGTTTCAAACCACCACAATGTTTCCTGGTGTTTCTTTCGTAGTTTCTGATGTATATGTGGAGTATGTTCCTCGTCCAGTTC